GGCCCTCACTCGTCCTGCTCGCCTCAGTAAACATGATGAATGGCGCCTGTAGAACGCAAAAGCCGAATCCCGGACATTTTGGGCGATCTCGAAATCCCGGGCAGACTCATCACGGAGACTCACTAGCCTAGACTTGTTGTTTTACTACTGCGCTCTGTTACCGGTAGGCGTGGCCTCCTAGGGCAGCGAAGCAAGTGCATTCTGGGAGTTGTTGTCTTTCACATAAGCCAAAAATACATTTATTTAGAAAGCTCCAAATTCAAAAATAATTTCACATTTCTTCTACATAAATGACCCATTTTAAATACACATTCATCTTTCCAGAGGTGAAGTATCCCTTTAAGTAGATAGATCTGTAATTGTATGTCTATTACTGCACTAATGAAGCTCAGCGGTTGATCAGTCATTCGAGAAGAACATGTGAGACGCCCTTTATAGAGCCCGTCTGTGACACAACATCTGAACATGTCTAGTGTTTTTTATTAGTGATAAATAATAGATATGATTTCAGCTTCTGGCCACGTGTCCCTCTGTCTGTATTTCTCTCTCCTGCAGTTCCTCTATGCATTAGTAATCGTCACATTTGTCCTCAGGAGCCGAAGAACCCTCAAAACTAAATCAAATGTGTTTCAATCAATCAAAGCACTTTGTAAACCTGAGGGCTGATTTTATATTAATGCATCTATTCACTTTAATGCACCTTCATTGTTTGCCACAGGCTGGCGCAGTTCTGATAGTGGACAGCAGGGGGCAGCACTGCATTACGTTTCATCTTAATAGTAAAGTTAAGTCACTGGTGATGGGATGAAAGTTTTAACACTTTGTGCTGTATTAAAGTGTTTCTTTTGATCAAAAATGCAGTAAAAACAGTGAAATATTATTGCAATGTAAAATAAAAATGTTTTCTATGTGAATATATAATAAAGTGTAATTTATTCCTGTGATCAAAGCTGAATTTTCAGCATCATTACTCCAGTCTTCAGTGTCACATGATCCTTCAGAAATCACTCTAATATGATGATCTGATGCTCTAGAAACATTTATGATTATTATCAAGGTTGAAAACAGGTGAGCTGCTTCATATCTGTGTGTTTTTTAAATCTTTTCAAAAGTGATGCTTACACTCAGAAAGGCTACATTTAAAATGATCAAAAGTGACAGTAAAGACATTTATAATGTTACAAAAGATTCTATTTCAAATAAATGCTGCTCTTCTGAACTTTATATTCATCAGAGAATCCTGGAAAAATAAAATGTATCAGTTTCCACACAAATATGAAGCATTATAAAACATTAATATGATGTTTTTTGTTAATAAGCTGAGAGTGTGTGTGCATTTAAAAACAAAATAATACTCCAAGGCACTCGAATTGTGTAGAAAAAAGTTTAAAAGCCTTTATTTGATCATGGCTTTTATCAAATAAATGGGTGACAGATACACCTACGCGTTGCGGCTTATGCCTTCGTCAGGGTGTGTGCATTTATTTGTTTATTAGACTAATATAGACTAGTAACAGAATGTGTTTTCGTTTTTAATAGACTCCATGTGGTGATCAATAAAGATTTGGGGTTTAATTGGGCCGTATGTCGGCGCTCCGTGGATAAAATTAACTTTGCAGTGAGTGTGTGTGTCGACGGTCCTGCTGTCGGTGTTTCACGCATGTTTCCAGCTGGTCAACGTGTGTGTGTGTCGCTGCTGTGATTGTGATGCAGGATTGTGTGTTTGCATTGGATGCAACACCACAGAAAAGTAACAGATGGTATTTAGAAACAAACTATAATATACTGTATCATCTAAAAACATGTCACTGTCAAGTTCATAATTTTAGCATGTTACAGCCCTGTGTGATAGTAGACGAGTGAAACGCGTTTAAACCGAGCACAAAAATACAATGATAAAATAATGACTTTTTAGGAACTGATTTTTTTTTTACTTTTCATGACAATTAAACACATTTCCCCCATAAAACATAATTGTATTTTGTAATAATTATTATTATACTATTATTATTCTCAGTGGTGAGTCTGATTAGACTTACATTACTGTAATACAATATACAATTCTGTAATGCTTTTTATTTAAATCAGCATATATTATATTAAAGGCTGTGCAATAAGTGCTATCATGATGTATAAATATTTTCAATAAAACATTTTTTTTGGGAGCAATTTAGAGAAATTAGAGTATTTTGCAAGATGTTTAATTTTCATGAAATTGTGACTACTTTTCAAAAAAAATTATCATCAAACTCTTTCTTACAAAGCATGAACATGAGGCACAAAACATTTGGGTTTACTTATTTGTTCACAAGGGAAAATGTTTTATTCATCAAAATGTTTTATTCAGTGTATACTCTGCCGTTCAAAAGTTTGGAGTCAGTAATCATTAAAAAACAGAAATGAAAGAAATTAATAGTTTTATTTATCAAGGATGCATTAAATGGATCAAAAGTGACAGTAAATACATTTATATGTTACAAAAAATATATATTTCAAATAAATGCTGTTCTTTTGAACTTTCTATTTATCAAAGAATCAAATAATGTCCACAACTGTTTTCAACATTGGTAATAATCATAAATGTTTCTTGAGCATCAGATCATCATATTAGAGTGATTTCTGAAGGATCATGTGACTGAAGACTGTGTCACATGATATATATATATATATTTCCGAAGGATCTATATATATATATATAGCCATTCAAAAGTTTGGGATCGGTACTTTTTTTTATGTTTTTAAAAGCAGTCTTTTCTGCTCACGAAGGCTGCATTTATTTGAATAAAAATACAGAACAAACAGAAATATTGTAAAATATTATTACAATTTAAAATAACTTAGGAATAAAATGTATTTTAGCATCATTACTCCAGTCTTCAGTGTCACATGATCCTTCAAAAATCACTCTAATATGATGATCTGATGCTCTAGAAACATTTATGATTATTATCAGTGTTGAACACAGTTTTGGACATTTTTTGATTATTTTATATATATATATATATATATATATATATATATATATATATATATATATATATTACTGATTCTTGTTTTAGGGTGACATGTGACCCGGTCATGTTGTCGACAGGTTTTAAGTCATAGTGAAACGAGGGCATTTCAGCAGCGGCCGTTGTTTTGTTGGCACTGGTTTTCTTCATTAGCAAACCATCTGGGACCGCTGCGCCGACGGGCCGCTTGTGTTTGATCAATCTGCTCATGTTTGGAGCCAGAACAGCAGTGAAGGGCTCGGGACGGGTGTGGAGACTCACTCTCACAGGGTCAGGGCGATGAGAGATGGTGTTTAGTAGTGAATCAGTGATCCAGGTCTGTTTGAACATCCTCCATCCTGCGGTTTGACCACACGTCTGCATGAAAGTCAGCTTGTGCGTGACTGGAAACTGGCTTTTAACCCTCATATTTTTTGTGAAACATATTTAAAAATTAAGTGTTCATCGGAGGGGTCCAAGACCCCATGACTTTTGTCACACTTGAACCAGGAATACACACACAAAATTAATAGATTCAAGGAGTTTTGTGTTTTAAATTTTAAAAAGTAACAAATCCTTCCATCACGGGTCAATTTGACCCCCTTAGGAATGAATGGAATGCGAGGAATGCTTCAGTTCATACAGAAAAACCTAAAAATGCTCAAAATTCAAACTAAAAATGCTAAAACTTTACCAAATGTCTACATGTGTAGCTGAATGAATACTGAAAAAAAAACTGACTAGGACCCACGGAACCGCTCATTTACTCCACATAGAGCTATAAGGCCATCTAGTGGCAAGAGTCATGAAATATCATGTTATATATATATATATATATATATATTTTTTTTTTTCAAGAGGTCGGCAAAGACAACCAATGTAAGATATTTTGAGCTGAATTATAAGGTTTATGCATGAAATTGTGAGTTATTTTGAATTCAAGTTGAAATGATGTGAGGAATGTGCTTAAAGGGATACTCCACTTTTTTTGGAAATAGGCTCATTTTACAACTCCCCCAGAGTTAAACTGTTGAGTTTTACCGTTTTTGAATCCATTCAGCCGATCTCCGGTTCTGGCGGTACCACTTTTAGCATAGCTTAGCATACATCATTGAAGTGGACAAGACCATTAGCATTTCTAAAAAAAAAATGACCAAAGAGTTTTGATATTTTTCCTATTTAAAACTTGACTCTTCTGTAGTTACATCGTGCACTAAGACCGACGGAAAATGTAAAGTTGCGATTTTCTAGGCTGATATGGCTAGGAACTATACTCTCATTCCTGCGTAATAATCAAGAAACTTCACTGCCGTACCATGAGTGCAGCAGGCGTAATGATATGACACAGCGCCTGAAAATAGGCCACCGTCCGTCAACACAACGGAACTATTTTCAGGCGCTGCGTCATATCATTACGCCTGCTGCTCTCATGGTACGGCAGTGAAGTTTCTTGATTATTACGCAGGAATGAGAGTATAGTTCCTAGCCATATCAGCCTAGAAAATCGCAACTTTACATTTTCCGTCGGTCTTAGTGCACGATGTAACTACAGAAGAGTCAAGTTTTAAATAGGAAAAATATCGAAACTCTTTGGTCATTTTTTTTTTAGAAATGCTAATGGTCTTGTCCACTTCAGTGATGTATGCTAAGCTATGCTAAAACTGGTACCGCCAGAACCGGAGATCGGCTGAATGGATTCAAAAACGGTAAAACTCAACAGTTTAACTCTGGGGGAGTTGTAAAATGGCCTATTTCCAAAACAAGTGGAGTATCCCTTTAAATTACTATTTATTGATTTAATCTAGTAATTTAAAGGTAGATAAAAAAAAATAAAAAAAAATGCATTAATAAAATGCATTAAATTATCAAAATAAAATAAGCTTTCTGGACAAAACAAAAAAAAAAGTGTAATTTTCGGGCTTCGGGTCATTTTGACCCGCGAGGGAAGGATGAATCCTGATTGTCGTTCTGATGGTTGGATGTTTAAGTGCTTATTCTGTGTGTCTCCAGCGAGGCCGTAGAGGAGGTTCAGTCCAGCTCTCATGCCACGTCTTCAGTCAAGACTATGAGCAAAGGTCCCGCGGGAGCTCCTCGACAGGGCAACGGTGTCCCTCCGCCCGCTGCCAAGAGCTGGCAGTCTGCGCACACCACAGGTGAGGCCTTCAGCACGTCTCAATATGCATCCGCTCCCTCAGGATACATCCAGTTTATCCTGGGATTCAAGATTATTTGTTGTCACTATACGAAGCCATCACATATAGCTTTGTGCAGACTAAACATCTAATTTAAATAAATACAATTTAAGTAGAATTCTAAAAACACAATACGATAATAACCAATATACAGTACAATACGTCAATAAAAAATATGCCATAATCAATACAACACAAAAACAATACACACAAAACCAGTGCAAGCAACGTGAACAGTCACATATTGCACAGGAATATTCCACAGTAAACAAACATTCTGCAGCGTTTACATGCGCTCATGTCTTCTCAAGGAAGACGGATATAAATTAAAAGGTAAAAGCAGTTTACACAATTATATATATTTTGTATTTTTATAGTACATAGGTACAATTTATATTTGTCTTCAAAAATTATCTCAAGCATTTCAGATGAAACCTTCAGTCAAATCTGTCTCTATTGCCGTGTTAATTTTGTTAACTTTATTAATAGTATTTATTATTTTTAATAAAACTAATATTAAAATGAAAACTGAAAATATAAAAATATAAGCTAGTTTTAGTTAATATATATATATGCATGTGTGTGTATATTTGTGTGTGTGTGTGTATATATATATATATATGTGTCTGTAATGATTTTTGTTTACAATAACAGCACTGAATATTATTTTAGAAAATTATATTTTATATTCTAATATTATTTTACATTCAGTGTAATTTTACTATTATTTAAATACTATTATTGTGTTTATTAATATTTTGAATTATTATATTTTATTATTTTAGTTTGTTACTAAAATTTGATGTGCTTTTGTCTTTTTCATTAGGTTTTAATAGCTTTATTTGTTTATTTTTGAAATTATTATTATAAATAAATTGCTAATAAGCTTATAAAATAATATCAACGGTTTAATAAGTCTATTATTTAAGTCTTACATTGTTAGTATTATAATATTATACTTATACTTTTGAAGAAATAGTACATTATACATTTTTATTAGAAACTATATATATACTGTATCAACCAATCATTAACTTTTTAAAAAATATGAAGTGTTTTATAAAATATGATGTATTATATAACATTTATTTCAGTTAGTTGCCAAGGAAGCATTTAAAAAAAAAAATGTTTTACTTTAAGTGTAATAAATCTAATTTTAAGTTATTTTATATCAGCTTTTTTTCAATGACTGAAAATGATTTTGAATAATTGTAGTTTTAATGAACTATCACACACAGACGCGCGTCAGCTCCTCGTGTGTCCTGCAGATGGCAGACTGCACTGCTAGATCTGAAAGCTTTGAGTTTATGGGCTGTACAAACCAGAGCTTGTATCCAGAAAGCCTGAGCGATGTCACACCCTCACGACTATGGCCGGTTCACAGTCACGTGTTCTTCACGAGCGCGGACTAACCAGAGGTGGTGTTGGTTTTACTCGCGGGTCGGAGGGTAAATGTTGACTCTGGGAATCAGGTGATCTTTATTGTCGGTATGTGGAGAGGAAGGCCTCATGTTTACCCATCATGCCCCTCTCTGGGCTCTTAAGTGCTGACGGGGAACACAGGTATCTCTGTGTAATATATGTGTGTGTGTGAGTAAACCTGCTGGAGCGCCTCCACACACTGCAAAAAAATGCTTTTCTTACTTAGTATTTTTGTCTTGTTTCCAGTCCAAATATAAAAAAATTCTTAAATCAAGATGCATTTACTAGATGAGTAAAATTAAGATATTATGTGTTTTCAGGGGGAATTAATCAAAATAAAGTGAGTTTTTGCTTAAAAAAAAGCAAAATTATCTGCCAATGGGGTAAGAAAAATAATCTTAATAACATTATTTTTCTTAATACCCCATTGGCAGATAATTTAGCTTTTTTTAAGCAAAAACTCACTTTATTTTGATTTATTACCCCAGAAAGCAAGACATAATATCTTATGGCATTTTACTGCTTTAGTAAATGCATCTTGATGTAAGAATTTTTAGATATTTGTACTGGAAACGAGACCAAATGCGAAATTTGTACTGGAAACGAGACCAAAAGAAAGCATGCTGTGCGGTGCTGCCCCGGATGAGCTGCAGGACGGCGAGCGCTTTGGGATCTGATGTTCGTGGGGATCTGAGGGTCAGTGGTCGGGGTGGCAGAGGAGTTCATCAGCAGAGGATCTCTTCAATTAAAGCTCAGCGCAGCGATTGCTTCCAGACGGACTCGCGAGCAGGAGAACATATGGGCTTCATTTCTCTGAGAAACTGCGTCCTGATGTTTCTGCTCGGACTCAGAGCTCTCGGAAACACTGCTGGGGTTATACTATACATTTAATCATTTAGCAGACGCTTTTATCCAAAGCGACTTATGAATGAGGAGAGCAATAGAAGCAGTGAAACTAACAATAGGACAGCGATATGCAAGTGCTGTGACCCTTCCCAGATTAGTCTAACACACGGGTTTTTTTGGTTTTTTTATAGATATGAATAGAAGAGAATAGAAAATAACATCACTGATGGGAAGATTTCTTTCTTTCTTTTCTTAGTTAATGTGTAAAATATAAAATAATAATGTAAACTTAAAAAAAAAAAAAATATATATATATATATATAAACCATTTATAAGATTAATAATTGATAATTTAAATATATGAAAAAATATATGTATAATATATATTTTTTAAATATTTAAATGATCAATTATTAATGTTATAAATGTTTAAACTACATTTAAAATATATTTTTATATTTGGTCATTTATTATATATTATAGATTTTTAAATGACAAATTATTAATTATAAACGTATACATTATTAATTTAAATTAATTAGAAACTTATATACATTATAAATGTACAAATATACAATATAAATTTGTAAAATCATATTTTAAAATGTTTAAATGAACAATGATTAATATTATAAACATTTTATGATTTAAAATCCTAATTGTTATAATTAAAAAATATACATGTATGATATATTTGCCGATTTAAAAAAAAAAAGATTAATTATAAATGTATACATTAGTACATTATGAAATTATATAAATTATATACACAGTATTTAAATGCATTATATCAATATATATATACACTACCGTTCAAAAGTTTGGGGTCAGTGAGAATTTTATTTTTTGGAGGAAAGAAATCAATACTTTTATTTATCAAGGACAGTAAAGACATTTATAATGTTACAAAAGATTGTATTTCAAACAAATGCTGTTCTTTTGAACTTCCTATTCATCAAAGAATCCTAAAAAACAAACAAAAAAACTGTACAACTGACAGACCAACAACTGTTTTAACATTGATAATAATAATAAATGTTTCTTGAGCATCAAATCCTGATATTATACTGATTTGTGAAGGATCATTTGACACTGAAGACACTGACACTGGTGATGCTGAAAATTCAGCTTTGATCACAGGAATAAATTACACTTTACTATATATTCACACAGAAAACAGCTGATTTACACTGGAATAATATTTAATACTATAACTGATTTTTGTTGTATTTTTAATCAAATAAGCGCAGCCATGGTTTGCAGAAGAGAATTCTTTTAAAATTATTTAAAATCGTACCGACCCCAAACTTTTGAACGGTAGTGTGTATATATATATATATATAAACTAATTAATCCAAAAAATCGTGTGTGTGAATAATTATATGTATTGGTTATTTATATTCATATTTATGTATTTTTTTAAATATTGGAGCCCATTTAAACTGTTTTTGTAAAGCGCACTCAGCTGATGACGATCTGCACCACCACGTTCCCACACACACGTTTGACGAACGGATATATTGAGGCGTCGGAAGCGTTTCCTCGTCCTCCGACAGACGCTCAGCGGAGAGGAAGAGCTCGTGTTATCTCACTCCAGTCTCAGGATGTGACGGTTCTTCCAGGAGTCTTGCAGGATTCAGCTGACCTCTGACCTCTGACCTGCTGCTTCTCACTGATCATCTGTAGTTGAAGTTCTGTTGGACAATCACGTATTTTCCAGCTTATATTTTTGAGCTTGATGTTTCATGCTCATATATATTTTATATATATATATATATATATACATGCATATACCTATAAACACACACATAAGTTTCTATATGTGTGTGTGTATATATATATATATATTAGTATTAGTGCTGGGCAACAATTAATCACATCCAAAATAAAAGTTTGTTTACATAATATGTCATAATTATTTTGTATATATAAATACACACATGCATGTATATATTTAAGAAATATTTGCATGTTGTATATATATTTATATATAATTTATATTCTATATAAATAACACTTTTCTTAAATGTATACATGCATGTGTGTATTTAAATATACAAAATAATGATTACATATATTATGTAAACAAACTTTTATTTTAGATGCGATTAATGCTTTTATGCAAACTGCACTATATATATATATATATATATATATATATATATATATATATATATATATATATATATATATATATATATATATATATATAAAGGTGAAGTCTGTAAGAATGACAACTAGTGGTCGGAATAGGTACTGCAGTCCAAATTCAAAATACCGGAGATTGTTGTTTCTCCCGCCTCCTCAGACTCGACGCTCACACGGGTCGCCAGTTTGAGACGCAACAGGAACGAGCGCAATGGACATTGGCAGCGTGCAGAATCACAGACCAAAACAAAAACACACATTCCAGCCTGGAAACGCACATTTCACCGTAAAATAACCGGCTGTAGACGTGTTTTTCAGAGAAACGAGTGTGTGAACTCCGCATGTTTCCTTAATATATGCAAACACATGGTATTTTTATGCTTTAGTCGAGTGAAAAAGTTACAAACAGCACTTTTAAGCATCATTATTAGGTTAGTTATATTAAAACTCTTCCTCCAGATGCCTGAGAGCTGCAGATAAGAGCGTTGAGCTTCAGCACAGATTCATTCGCACGGATCTGTCGGCTCGTTTTTCCTCCGTTACGCGTAAATCAAGGGAGCACATGCTCTGTGACCCGCGGCTTTGATTCCTGCACCGTCTGAATGAGCCGCTCTGTGCCTCGCTGACCTCTGACCTCTCAGAGAAGGCAAGGCTTGTCCTTCCACTCCCTGAAACGGACGGTTATTTTGCCAGGTGTCTCCTCCAGTTCTGGGAATGTTGTTTTTTCCCCCCTCCGTCCTGAGTAAATCGATCCATTGTTTTTGGTGTGGATGTCCCGTCCGCAGATGGTCCGACGAGAAGAGATAGAGTTCGTATATCTTAACTAGAACTTTCCATCCCCTTCGGTCACGCTACACGACCGCGCACAAAACCGGGCGATCTCATTACCCGTTTTGGTCTTGCGTAACACAGACGCTGTTGTGGGTGAAGTTCAGCGAGGGGTCGCACAGATTGAAATCTCTTTCTCTTTGATTATTAGGGCTTCCTAAAGCAGGTGCACCTGCGCCTCAGACGGGACGGGTCAGCAAAGGCCCCGTGAAGGGACCGGATCGACCCAAACCTCAAGCTCATCCCAGCGACCAGGACGATTCGCTGGTGCAGAGAGCCGAACACATCCCAGCGGGAACACGGACACCCATGTGCGCTCACTGCAACATGGTCATCAGGTCAGACACACACACACACATGCACTCCTCCATCATGAGACTCACTGAGACAACACTGTGTCCCTCAGCATCATTACTCCAGTCTTCAGTGTCACATGATCCTTCAGAAATCACTCTAATATGAGGATCTGATGCTCAAGAAACATTTATGATTATTATTAATGTTGAAAACAGTTGTGTGCAATTTTATTTCAGGATTCTTTGAGTATAAAGTTCAAAAGAACAGCACTTCTCCACAGGGGGACTTTAGCTAATGTTAACTAAGGCTATGTCGACATTAATCCGGATACATTTGAAAACGGCGTTTTTGTTTAAAGCGCTCTCCGTTAGGGATGGGAATTGATAAGATTTTATCAATATCAATGCCACTAATGATTCTGCTTATCGATCCGATTCTTTAACGATTCTCTTATCGATTCCTGAAAGCACTGTGTGGGAAAAAGTAGTCTTTTTCGGGGGGAAAAACAAGTGGTTTTATTTGTTTTAAAGCTTACACTTGACTAAGCAAACTGTACTTTTTATGTAATTTATGTAATAAATGGAACCTTATTGTAAAGTGTTACCGATTAGTTATACACCGATTAAACGTCCCGTGAGTTCAGTGTTGGAAAGATCAGTTGTTTTAACCATTCATTAAAACTAGTGCTGGGCAACGATTAAAAAATTTAACCGCGATTAATCGCATTGTTACGCGCAAAATTGAATAATGAATTCTAAAGTAGTGTATTGCGCACTTTTGATTTAAATGTACTGCTACAAAAGTGCCATAACATGTGGTTTGCAAAAACTTTAAACAAATAAGGTGCTTTTATACCAGCAGTATTCCCTTTACACAGTATCAATAAAATATTTCTTGTAAATCTCAACTTAAACATTAACTAAATCAAATCAAATATTTAAACAAAGCTGTTTGCCACTGCCAGTGCATTACCTTTTATCTAGCTTGTTAAAACGAGTCCAGTTTTCTTTTTTTTTTCTTTTTTTTTCTGAACAGGTATCTTGTATCAGGGAGCAGCAGAAACAGTCCATGTAGTCAAAGGGTCATGACCACTACAGATATAAGTCGACCAACGTTACTTCTCTGATAGCAGCTTAGGTTTGGTCATGGCATGCCATGGTTTCCCACGTAAGATTACATTAAACAGAGATAAAGCCCAATTTATACTTCTGCTCGAACTCACGCCGTAGCTGTGTAGCGCGCGTACCCTGACGTGCATCTCTCCAAAAATGTAACGTCAATTCTACGCGCACCGCAAGCGCTGTGATTGCTAGAACCGCTCCCCGGGTTTCACACTCTCCCTCTGCAGTCTGCATGTGTAATTGCGCGTCAACGCGGACAACGACGCAGATATAGAAATGAAAACCAACGCGTTGTCTATAGCGTAGAGGCTCCGGCGTAAGTCCGACGCAGAAGTATAAATCAGCCTAGAGTGAGGTGAAGTGGTCGAGCACCGGTGCAGCGACAAGCGGGTGCGTTCCTGTGAAACTGTTGCGGTCATGCTCGCCTCACGCACGCGCGTTGAATAGTCTAACTTTTTGTACACGACGCGCAGCACAAATCATTGGAAGAGAGACTGATCCTCGGCTCGCTGTTTGTGAGTTTCCAGAATCTAAATAGTTATCAGGACATCAACAGAAGGGAATTCACATGGCAGAGCATCCCCGCTAAACTACACGCAGGCCTATCAGGTAAAGTTATGCATAATTTTAATTTAAGTTAAAAAGGCTACAGCTGCACAGAAGCCGTTGCCATGGTTACTATCCATAGAGCGCCTGTCATTCACTCGCGGAGCGCTGTCTCCCTTTCTGTTCACCTGAGAGAACCTGCCAAAGCCTCTCCACTGCTGGTTTGGGTGGGTTATTTGCTGGCTGACCAACATCCCACCCCTCCTGTGATCATGGTTTGACTGTAGGCCTATGTGTATTCAGAGCCAGTGAGCAACGGACTTTCAAAATAATAATAATAATAAAAAAACGGCGTTAACGCGCGATAAAAAAATTGTAGGCATTAATTAATAAATGCGTTAACGCGATAATAACGCGTTAACTTGCCCAGCACTAATTAAAACGAATCGGTTCAAATGAGTCAATTATTATTCAAATTCAAATTCATTATTCAATTCAAATTAGTTCGCGAATTGGACGTGTCATTATCGGACGTGTGCGTGTGATTATCCCGGCGGTTGGGACATCCCACAAGATGTGTGACATCACAGAAAACATTTCATCACTGGATCGTTTTTTTCGTTTATTTGAAGTGTGATTATGTCAGCTGAATGTGCGGAACGCTCTTCAGAGAAGATAAGGTATTTTAGCACAATTCACACCCAGCGGTAATTCAGGAAAAACAAATCTCCGAATGATCCACATAAAGCTTTAGTCTCCCTACCTACCATCGTGTCGTTTATTTTGATTAATATGTGCGAGGGAGAGAGAGGAAGACAGCGCTTAGTTTTGAGACGGTTTGAAGCCTTGCTCTCTCTCTCTCTCTCTCTCTCTCTCTCTCTCTCTCTCTCTCTCTCTCTCTCTCTCTCTCTCTCTCTCTCTCTCTCTCTCTCTCTCTCTCTCTCTCTCTCTCTCTCTGCTCGATCAGTTTAACATGCGCCCTGTCACAAGCGCAGCGGTTCATCTACATTACCAGAGAGAGACAATTTTACTCACCGATCAAATAAGACTGGCAGTACAAAGATTAGCTTTGGACGCTGTGCTATGGTGCTTGATAAAGGACAAAAGGGACAGTTGTGAGTTCACGGACTGTACATACTATGGCTGACTCAGAGCAGGAGCATCGATAAGAGGACTCGTTAACGTCGAGGGCATACAATATCGATGGATCGTAAAATTTAGAACCGGTTCTCGAGTGGAACCGGTTTTCAATTCCCATCCCTACTCTCCGTCCATACCAACGTTTCAGGCGTTTTCCCCTTGCCAAACGCTAGATTCCCCTTTACTGCGCATGTGTAAACCCTCACAAACGCTCACTGAGATGATACAGGTGGAAAAATAGATACAGGGCTCCAGACTAACTTTTTTCACTAGGAGCACAGTGGCCCCCAACTGAAAATTTTAGGGGCACAACCAGAAAATTTAGGAGCACACACCGTAAATCAACATACAAACCAAATATTCACATTTCTACAAATTTCCAGTGTATTACTAATAAATACTTTGATAATAGATGCAGAAATTACAATGCCTTTGCCCTCTGATTTAACGTTACAACCTCTTGTCTTCTAAAAGCAACCGGCAGTGGCGTTGCTTTTTGATTTATTAACATGTCGCCGCATACTCTATGCTTGAGGCTAAGATTGTGTTTAACTAGCGTATTGTGTTTAAACTGTGAAGTGCCTGCACTGTCGGCAAACTTCGGCAAATTATTCGGTATGTGCTATGTTCAGGGAAAAAAAGACTACTGTCAAATAAAATAAAGAAAATATGAACAAATAATCTAACCACAAGCAAAAGCACAAATAAATACAATAGAGCAAAGATACTAATAAAATAAACAATACTTTTGAGATTAGTTTTCAGGTACAGAAATTGAATGAAATAATCAAATGTAAAATAACATTGCATATTTGACTATATAAATTAAAGATTAATCTTTATTAAAGTTACAAAAGCTATTCAATTCAGAGCTGATTCAGTAGGCCTACACGATACTGTGAGTTTCTTTCTTGACCATATAAGTTCACTTAAGGCATAACAGACTATGTCTGCTATAGGATACTCATCAAGACGGACATGTTTACATACTTTTTGTGTGAATTTGTCCATTCAAGTGCAAGACTTGAAAGAGAACTCAATATTTGCGCGCTGTCTGAGATGAGTAGCCTACACATACACACACACGCGTGCGCGCACAGACACACGTGCACAAATCTTCTAGACGCGAGTTCTTTTTTGCGTCTTGCAAATGTTTACATGGGCAAAGCTTAAATGAGTTTAGTTTAAACACCGATGGTAACGTCTGCAGTTCAGGTCTCGCCTGCGCTCGTGCGCTATCGACTCCCGGGTGATGACGGCGTAAATGACAGGTCATGTTCGAGATTTGGCACTCACATTGAACAGTGTTTACAAAGAGTAATCGTTTTGTTCACGTTTTTTGATTATCGCTGTTGTAATGTATTATTTGGGAAGCCAGCAAGTGAATTTAACTGCCACACTAGCCGCAGGTCGGAAGAATGAGTCAGTAGTTCGCTTGTTCATTGCTCAGACGCACAGCAGGTTGTCTGCGTCTCCGTCTCCTTCCCACACAGACGTTTAATCGCGCGCTCGGTTATCTCTAGGACCCTCCCCCTCCACACATTAGCCACTTACAGTGGCCATTCCCTATTCTTCTCACACTCATTGGCCTGCCACACATTCCGGGTTCATTCATAAGCCCCTTCCACGTTTAACGTGAAAAAAGAGGGGGCAAATTTACTGGTCGCACATGTGCGACTGGATGTAAAATTCAGTCGCACACTATCAAATTTTGGTCGCAGTCTGGAGCCCTGAGATAATAAAGTTATTTCGTAATTCTTCTGATCGCGTAATTCTTCTGACCTCTGTCGAGGTCGCTCTCACTCACCGCCCGAGTAGCAGTGCTTCGCCTTCCGAGAATACAGTTCCCAGTGTGTATGCGGTTAGAAGATGGCTGTGTCTCATGTGACCTTGTTATTTGTGACGCACGTTCGTTGCGTTTTACCGTGAAATGAGACTTCCGAGTCTTTTAATGATTTATCTCTCATCGACTGGCAACCCACCCACAATTAATTTGTTCATTTTTATCCACCTTATTCCTGACGAGCTTACTGCGTTTTGAATTATGGGGAACTTCCATTCAAAAAGACTGAAACAAATAAGTTCAAATCATAAGGATGCCCTACAAATAAAGCTGATCCGTCAGTTTGATTGAATGAGCTGTCAATTTTCCTTCATGATTTATTTTCAGACATTTTTAACATGAGTTATAACAAGAATATCTATGGCAAGAGCTCGTTTCAGTTGCTGCATTCGTCCTCGTGATCATTTTCTTTTTTCCCTTTGCATGTCGCAGTTATAGTATGAAAAAAGGGCAATATACTTCACATTTGTGGTCTGTTTTCCTGATTTAGTATGACATATCCCATTAATAATTCACTGGAATGGAATCTGAAAATTACGGAAATCACTTTGAAATGGTATCACGCAATGCTGAAGTTAATGAACATTTTTGATTAAGGCAACATATGTTACATAATACAGATATGTGTTTCTGATATTTAACCCGTCTCCTATTGCCGTGGAAAATCTCGCTTTTGAATGTACCTTGTTGATGCTTTACACTTTTGAATGTCCTTTTAATGTTTGATGGTTGAAGGGGGGAGTATAATAATATCATCTCATTGTATCCAACGTACATAAAAAAAACATTAAAAAAAGAAGAACGTATAATTGCTTTCATAAAGCGAGCCTTTCACTGATTGTTTACAGCTTAGCGGACGTTACACCCATAATTCGCGCAAAGCGTCATGGGGCGTGGGAATAAGGTGGACAACTTGGCCCTTCTGCATTATCTGCGTATATAACGCGATCCGCGCATCACTATTGAGTGCTTAGAGAACGGCAATAAATAGAGCCTCGTAATCCTCAATGCAGGAAAAGCTAATGGTACTTTATTGTAAAGTGTTACCAGAACGTTTTTATTCCTCATAAAACAAACATAACTCAGATTTTCTGCTCTAAGAATGTTTGATTTCCCGGTTTGTCTGTCCTGACACTGTTAAACAGCCGTTTTGAGCGAGTCGATGTGAAGGGATCGGTTCAGGGTAACGTGAGGACGGCAGCGGGGATGCGGGTTACAAATCGGATGATTAGCTGGGAGGGAAAACAACAGACAGCGGCGATATCAAATGCAGAAAACGGAGACTTTAAGCTTGGATGTCACGGGTGTTTCGGCAGGAGTCTGGCAGTCTGTGTAACGGATCCGACACTCGCTCGCGCTCTCTGGGGTCGAGCTGAAGGAGTCCGAGCTCCTCGACCGTCACCACAGATCTGTCACACGCCTCTTCCTCTGCTAACTCATCTTCACACCGACACACAGACGCCGCACTGTACAGGGGACAACTCAAAACACAGCGGTTTTCAATAGCGTGAGCTTTTTATTGGTAACACTTTACAATAAGGTTCATTTAGTTATTGTGTACTAACAATCAGCAAAACATTTGGGTTACACTTTATTTGAAGGTGTTATTGTTACGGTGTAGTTATATGTTTAGGTAATGAGTAATATTAATTAATTTCATGTACTTACAATAGGGTTTAGGGTTTTGTTGAGGGTTAGTTGCATGTAATTATGCATAATTTACTATTATTACTATGTTAAGTACATGTAATATATATGTAACAAGGACACTGTAAAATAAAGTGTTACCAACATTTGTTACAGTATTTATTAATCTTTGTTAATGTTAGCTAATAAAAATACAGCTGTTCATTGTTAGTTCACAATGCATTAACTAATGTTCACTAATACAACCTTTGATTTCGATAATGAATTAGAAAATGTTGAAATTAATATTAACTAAGATTAATAAATGCTGAAGAAATTAATTAATGAACCTTATTGTAAAGTGTTACCATGTTATTTTTCTCTTTTTGTGTTCTGTGTGACGCTGTAAAGCACATTGGTCAACTTGTGTTGTTTTAATTGTGCTCTATAAATAAAGTTGCTATTGCCATCTTTAACTCAGAGCTGCTTCACACCATGAATTATAACATTTGATCTCTCCAAAACATGTTTTCTTAAGTCTCTTTCAAGGTTACAACATTTTTAACAAATGTAACAAAATGTAACACTAGCGTTCAAAAGTTTGGGGTAAAGAAACGCATTAAAGTGACCAGTAAAGACATTTATAATGTTACAAAAGATTCTATTTCAAATAAATGCTGCTCTTTTGAGCTTTCTATTCATCAAAGAATCCAGAAAAATAAAATGTATCACAGTTTCCATACAAATATGAACTGTTTTCAACACTGATAATAATCATAAATGTTTCTTGAGCATCAGATCATCATATTAGAATGATTTCTGAAGGATCGTGTGACACTGAAGACTGGAGTAATGATGCTGAAAATTCACAGGAATAAATTACACTTTACTATATATTCACATAGAGAACAGTTACTTTACATTCTAATAATTTTCACTGTTTTTACTCTATTTTCATTAAATAAATGCAGCTTTTGTGAGAATAAAGTCTTATCGACCACAAACTTTTGAATGCTAATTTACATTCAAGTCACATTAAGAAAATAAATAAATACTTAAACAGAAAAATAAATAATAGAAAATAATACTCAAACAAATGTATTTGTGATCATTTTAAACTGTAAAGTTCCTAGAGAAGCACCCCACCCACACACACACACACACACACAAAAACAATGTAACATTTTCCTCAAAGGACTTATCAAGTTTGAATTTCAGAAGACTTATAAAGTATCAACATGATTCTTCAGTGTTTTGAGCTGATAAAATGGACCTGGAGTCTGAATATTATTCAGATGAGCTCATCTGTGACTGAGTGAATGATATATTGTGTGAATAATATCAGAAAGTGCATTTCTCTTCCGTTTTCACACACCACACGATGTTTCTGCTTTATTTGGAGCTGCTTTTAGGATTGTTTTACATAAACCTTTGTTGACAATAAATAATCTCTTACTTAAAGTCTCCCTGTAGTCAATAATTGTATCCCTTAAAAATCATCTTTGATCACCAAAATTACATATTTAAACGTTTTTTTCCTTGAAAGAATAATTCGTCATGCCTTTTAACTAAAATACAACTGTTCATTGATGATTAGTTCAGGTTCCATAAATAATGTTAACGGATACAACTTTTGATGTTAATAATGGATCAGTAAATGTTGAAAAATTTGATTATCGTGCAAAAGTTCATTTATTTCAGTAATTCAACTTAAAAGGTGAAACTAATATATTATATAGACTCGGTACATGCAAAGTGAGATATTTCAAGCCTTTATTTGTTATAATTGTGATTATGGTTTACAGATATGAAAACCTTTCACAATATTCTAATTTTGAATTTGGGGTTTTCATAAGCTGTGAACCATAATCATCACAATTATAACAAATAAAGGCTTGAAATATCTCACTTTGCATGTAATGAGTCTATATAATAAATTAGTTTCACCTTTTAAGTTGAATTACTGAAATTAACTTTTGCACGATATTCTAATTTTTCGAGTTTCACCTGTGTATATATAGCCTATTTATATAATCATAAAATAAATGACAGCATGTCATTTATACACATAAAAATACATACCTAAATGACCTATTTATCTTATTTTTATTTAATATTTAATTCAGTTAACGTTTCACTTCTTCATTAGTAGCAGTGTTTAGCTGTAATAACCCTGTGTGATTGACAGCTGAAGGCAGTGGAGCCGTTATTGGTCCTGTCTGTTGTTGAATAAGCGTCTGGTGTTTTGCAGGGGTCCGTTCCTGGTGGCCATGGGCAAATCGTGGCACAATGAGGAGTTCAGCTGTTCCCACTGCCACCGCTCGCTGGCAGACGTGGGCTTCGTGGAGGAGCGCGGGTCCGTTTACTGCGAGCGCTGTTACGAGCAGTTTCTGGCCCCGTCCTGCTCACGCTGCCAGCAGAAGGTGCTCGGGGTGAGTGACGGGACCGACACGGAGTCTGCAGTGTTCAAGTCTACACTCACCTAAAGGATTATTAGGAACACCTGTTCAATTTCTCATTAATGCAATTATCTAATCAACCAATCACATGGCAGTTGCTTCAATGCATTTAGGGGTGTGGTCCTGGTCAAGACAATCTCCTGAACTCCAAACTGAATGTCAGAATGGGAAAGAAAGGTGATTTAAGCAATTTTGAGCGTGGCATGGTTGTTGGTGCCAGACGGGCCGGTCTGAGTATTTCACAATCTGCTCAGTTACTGGGATTTTCACACACAACCATTTCTAGGATTTACAAAGAATGGTGTGAAAAGGGAAAAACATCCCTTATGCGGCAGTCCTGTGGGCGAAAATGCCTTGTTGATGCTAGAGGTCAGAGGAGAATGGGCCGACTGGTTCGAGCTGATAGAAGAGCAACAGTGACTGAAATAACCACTCGTTACAACCGAGGTCTGCAGCAAAGCATTTGTGAAGCCACAACACGCACAACCTTGAGGCGGATGGGCTACAACAGCAGAAGACCCCACCGGGTAACACTCATCTCCACTACAAATAGGAAAAAGAGGCTACAATTTGCAAGAGCTCACCAAAATTGGACAGTTGAAGACTGGAAAAATGTTGCCTGGTCTGATGAGTCTCGATTTCTGTTGAGACATTCAGATGGTAGAGTCAGAATTTGGCGTAAACAGAATGAGAACATGGATCCATCATGCCTTGTTACCACTGTGCAGGCTGGTGGTGGTGGTGTAATGGTGTGGGGGATGTTTTCTTGGCACATTTTAGGCCCCTTAGTGCCAATTGGGCATCGTTTAAATGCCACGGCCTACCTGAGCATTGTTTCTGACCATGTCCATCCCTTTATGGCCACCATGTACCCATCCTCTGATGGCTACTTCCAGCAGGATAATGCACCATGTCACAAAACTCGAATCATTTCAAATTGGTTTCTTGAACATGCCAATGAGTTCACTGTACTAAAATGGCCCCCACAGTCACCAGATCTCAACCCAATAGAGCATCTTTGGGATGTGGTGGAACGGGAGCTTCGTGCCCTGGATGTGCATCCCACAAATCTCCATCAACTGCAAGACGCTATCCTATCAATATGGGCCAACATTTCTAAAGAATGCTTTCAGCACCTTGTTGAATCAATGCCACGTAGAATTAAGGCAGTTCTGAAGGCGAAAGGGGGTCAAACACAGTATTAGTATGGTGTTCCTAATAATCCTTTAGGTGAGTGCATATGTTTAAAAGTGCGGTGTGTGTGTCGTCCTACAGGTTTGTGAATGCTTCCTCAAACTGTGTCTTGTTGGGCAGTAATTAGCTAAAATCAGGGACGCTACAGCTTAAATGCATTTCAGTGACTGACTGTAACTCCGCTGTAATAATCATAAAAATATTTATTATATATTACATTTTAAGATATATATATATATATATATAATTAGTTTTTTTATATATAATTAATATTTCAAATCACACACACATATATATGAAATATATATCTATATATAAAAAATATATATTAATTTATTAACCAAATATATATTTAACAAAAAAATATATATTCAAGTTTTGAAGCTGTTAACAGTTCATCATAGTTATTTTTATTTAAATAAAAAAAATCTATATATGCAAAATACGAAAGTGTTTATCGCAACCAGCTCACTTTTACAGGTAAAGAATACCTGCAAGTAGTTTTAGTGTAGTTTTGCTTCAGTTTGTTAGCAGCCGGTTCTATTCTGACATCCGCGAGTCTTTCCCTGTAAAGCTTCATTCCCAGCCTCCCCCTCCTCTGCTCTCTCTGGGAGTGTGGGACTGTGGGAACGAGCTTTAATCGGGATCATAAGGTCTGGTAAAGCTGGCAGCGGCCGCTCAGATGTGTGACAATTAGCACTGGCTGTGTCGCATTGGCTTTAGTGGGCTTCAGAACTGCTTCACTCGCTTAATGAGCGGATGAGAGAGAACATGTGCTTTTTTTTTTTGGCCTGGATATATTTAATATTCAACAATATTATATGTATGAACTAAATTAAAAAAATTATATAATTACATGTAATATCAATTTTTTTTAATTATTAATATTTTATCATTTATGTTCTACAAAATAAATTTCTATTAATATATTTTTATATAAATTATTTAATTATGTGTATATGTATAATTCTAAAATATATACATAATTATTATAAAATATTATAAAAAGTGCATGTATATGCTTAAATTAAAACATTTAATTAAAAATATATAGCTTTAAAAATATAAAAAATATATGTTGTCTGGACCATTATTTACGTGTCTAAAAAAATACAAATAAAAAATATATATAATTAATATATTAAAAAATATATACATAATATATTAAAAAAGTATATATAATTTGAAAAGTATATCAATCTTACTAAGATAGATTGAATATTTTATTTGCTTATCTGCAGATTATGTGACCATTAACAGACATCAGAGAACTGTGAACACGTGAATGTGTTAAAATCTCAGTAATGATTTTGTCTTAACTGGTTTGGCTGACAAAGTCTGTTATTTGATCAGTAGCCGAAGCGGTTGTAGTCGTAGCAGCGAGTCGTTGTTTCACAGAGAGTTTAATGTGCTGTTTTCATCTGCTAACAGGAGGTCATCAACGCCCTGAAGCAGACCTGGCATGTGCAGTGCTTTCTGTGTGCCTCCTGCCAGCAGCCGATCCGCAACAACACCTTCCACATGGAGGACGGGCAGCCGTACTGCGAGACTGGTGAGCGTTACCCATAAACCCCTCCGTTACCCATAAACCCCACCGTTACCCATAAACCCCTCCGTTACCCATAAACCCCTCCGTTACCCATAAACCCCACCGTTTCCCATAAACCCCTCCGTTTCCCATAAACCCCACCGTTTCCCATAAACCCCACCGTTACCCATAAACCCCTCCGTTACCCATAAACCCCTCCGTTACCCATAAACCCCTCCGTTACCCATAAACCCCTCCGTTACCCATAAACCCCACCGTTTCCCATAAACCCCACCGTTACCCATAAACCCCTCCGTTTCCCATAAACCCCACCCGTTACCCATGAACCCCTCCCGTTACCCATAAACCCCACCATTACCCATAAACCCTGTTTCCCATAAACCCCTCCGTTACCCATAAACCCACCCATTACCCATGAACCCCTCCGTTACCCATAAACCCCACCGTTACCCATAAACCCCTCCGTTTCCCATAAACCCACCTGTTACCCATAAACCCCACCCGTTACCCATGAACCCCTCCCGTTACCCATAAACCCCTCCCGTTACCCATGAACCCCTCCCGTTACCCATAAACCCCTCCCGTTACCCATAAACCCCTCCCGTTACCCATAAACCCCTCCCGTTACCCATAAACCCCACCGTTACCAGAGAATGTCTAATTGAAGAGAATTGGCACTGTCTGGTTACTTCCGGTTTCTGGACTGGCTGCAGTAACACGTCTCTGTCCATGCGGGGGCGCTCGCGGGCGAGTGCAGAATGAATGGGAGTCTATGGGGTTTCACCCCCAGAAATCCACTTTTCTTAGGATGTAATTTTTTGTCAAGTAATTTGAAAGTTGCATTCAAAAGGGAGGGCTAAGATAATACACTCAGCTGAAAATTGCATTTTTAAGTTCAATTATCTGTTTTAAAAATCCATTCAAAAATGTGATGACGTCACATAAAAGCAGAATGCTAGTGTGTTCCGGCCAACAACGGCCTAACCTGTAAGAAATCGAAAGGACATAAGTACTCGTTCATTCGACTTTTGGCCTATAATCTATATTGAACTTGCGGAATCAACAATAAAATCGATGTTGATTCAACGACAAGCAGGAGAAAGAGATACATTTAGCCGTTTAGCTCCATAGACTCCCATTCATTCTGCACTCGCCCGCGATCACCTCCAGTGGAATTCTAATGGAACTGCAACCAAGATGATACACAATGGGGCTAATAGGAAGTGCCGAGGCTCTCCGTTAGACGGGCTCTGCCGTTACCCATAAACCCCTCCCATTACCCATAAACCCCACCGTTACCCATAAACCCCACCGTTACGGATAAACCCCTCCGTTACCCATTTACCCATAAACCCCACCCGTTACCCATGAACCCCACCCGTTACCCATAAACCCCACCCGTTACCCATAAACCCCTCCGTTACCCATAAACCCCTCCGTTACCCATGAACCCCTCCGTTACCCATAAACCCCACCCGTTACCCATAAACCCCTCCGTTACCCATGAACCCCACCCGTTACCCATGAACCCCTCCGTTACCCATGAACCCCTCCCGTTACCCATGAACCCCACCCGTTACCCATGAACCCCTCCGTTACCCATGAACCCCTCCGGTACCCATGAACCCCTCCGTTACCCATGAACCCCTCCGTTACCCATAAACCCCTCCGTTACCCATAAACCCCTCCCGTTACCCATAAACCCCACCCGTTACCCATAAACCCCTCCGTTACCCATAAACCCCTCCGTTACCCATGAACCCCTCCGTTACCCATGAACCCCTCCCATTACCCATAAACCCCACCGTTACCCATAAACCCCTCCGTTACCCATGAGCCCCTCCGTCACCCATAAACCCCTCCCGTCACCCATAAACCCCTCCGTCACCCATAAACCCCTCCCGTCACCCATAAACCCCTCGTTACCCATGAACCCCTCCGGTACCCATTAACCCCTCCGTTACCCATGAACCCCTCCGTTACCCATAAACCCCTCCGTTACCCATAAACCCCTCCGTTACCCATAAACCCCTCCCGTCACCCATAAACCCCTCCGTTACCCATGAACCCCTCCGGTACCCATAAACCCCTCCGTTACCCATGAACCCCTCCGTTACCCATGAACCCCTCCGTCACCCATAAACCCCACCGTTTCCCATAAACCCCACCGTTACCCATAAACCCCTCCGTTACCCATGAACCCCTCCGTTACCCATAAACCCCTCCCGTTACCCATAAACCCCACCGTTACCCATGAACCCCTCCGTTACCCATGAACCCCTCCGTCACCCATAAACCCCACCGTTTCCCATAAACCCCACCGTTACCCATAAACCCCTCCGTTACCCATAAACCCCACCGTTACCCATAAACCCCACCGTTACCCATGAACCCCTCCGTTACCCATGAACCCCTCCGTTTCCCATAAACCCCACCGTTTCCCATAAACCCCACCGTTACCCATAAACCCCTCCGTTACCCATGAACCCCTCCGTTACCCATAAACCCCTCCGTTACCCATGAACCCCCTCCGTTACCCATAAACCCCTCCGTCACCCATAAACCCCTCCCGTCACCCATAAACCCCTCCGTTACCCATAAACCCCTCCGTTTCCCATAAACCCCTCCCGTCACCCATAAACCCCTCCCGTCACCCATGAACCCCTCCGTTTCCCATAAACCCCTCCGTTTCCCATAAACCCCTCCCGTCACCCATAAACCCCTCCCGTCACCCATGAACCCCTCCGTTTCCCATAAACCCCTCCGTTACCCATAAACCCCTCCGTGTCCCATAAACCCCTCCCGTCACCCATAAACCCCTCCCGTCACCCATGAACCCCTCCGTTTCCCATAAACCCCTCCGTTTCCCATAAACCTCTCCCGTCACCCATAAACCCCTCCCGTCACCCATGAACCCCTCCGTTTCCCATAAACCCCACCGTCACCCATAAACCCCTCCCGTCACCCATGAACCCCTCCGTTACCCATGAACCCCTCCGTTTCCCATAAACCCCTCCCGTCACCCATAAACCCCTCCGTTTCCCATAAACCCCTCCGTTACCCATAAACCCCACCGTTACCCATAAACCCCACCGTTACCCATAAACCCCTCCCGTCACCCATGAACCCCTCCGTTTCCCATAAACCCCTCCGTTACCCATAAACCCCTCCGTTTCCCATAAACCCCTCCCGTCACCCATAAACCCCTCCCGTCACCCATGAACCCCTCCGTTTCCCATAAACCCCTCCGTTTCCCATAAACCCCTCCCGTCACCCATAAACCCCTCCCGTCACCCATGAACCCCTCCGTTTCCCATAAACCCCTCCGTTACCCATGAACCCCTCCGTTACCCATGAACCCCTCCGTCACCCATAAACCCCACCCGTCACCCATAAACCCCTCCGTTACCCATGAACCCCTCCGTTACCCATGAACCCCTCCGTCACCCATAAACCCCACCCGTCACCCATAAACCCCTCCGTTACCCATGAACCCCTCCGGTACCCATGAACCCCTCCGTTACCCATAAACCCCTCCGTTTCCCATAAACCCCACCGTCACCCATAAACCCCTCCGTTACCCATAAACCCCTCCGTTACCCATAAACCCCTCCGTTACCCATAAACCCCTCCCGTCACCCATAAACCCCTCGTTACCCATGAACCCCTCCGGTACCCATTAACCCCTCCGTTACCCATGAACCCCTCCGTTACCCATAAACCCCTCCGTTACCCATGAACCCCTCCCGTCACCCATAAACCCCTCCGTTACCCATAAACCCCTCCGTTACCCATAAACCCCTCCGTTACCCATAAACCCCTCCGTTACCCATAAACCCCTCCGTTACCCATAAACCCCTCCGTTACCCATAAACCCCTCCCGTCACCCATAAACCCCTCCGTTACCCATAAACCCCACCGTTACCCATAAACCCCACCGTTACCCATAAACCCCTCCCGTCACCCATGAACCCCTCCGTTTCCCATAAACCCCTCCGTTACCCATAAACCCCTCCGTTTCCCATAAACCCCTCCCGTCACCCATAAACCCCTCCCGTCACCCATGAACCCCTCCGTTTCCCATAAACCCCTCCGTTTCCCATAAACCCCTCCCGTCACCCATAAACCCCTCCCGTCACCCATGAACCCCTCCGTTTCCCATAAACCCCTCCGTTACCCATGAACCCCTCCGTTACCCATGAACCCCTCCGTCACCCATAAACCCCACCCGTCACCCATAAACCCCTCCGTTACCCATGAACCCCTCCGTTACCCATGAACCCCTCCGTCACCCATAAACCCCACCCGTCACCCATAAACCCCTCCGTTACCCATGAACCCCTCCGGTACCCATGAACCCCTCCGTTACCCATAAACCCCTCCGTTTCCCATAAACCCCTCCGTTACCCATAAACCCCTCGTTACCCATGAACCCCTCCGGTACCCATTAACCCCTCCGTTACCCATGAACCCCTCCGTTACCCATAAACCCCTCCGTTACCCATGAACCCCTCCCGTCACCCATAAACCCCTCCGTTACCCATAAACCCCTCCGTTACCCATAAACCCCTCCGTTACCCATAAACCCCTCCGTTACCCATAAACCCCTCCGTTACCCATAAACCCCTCCGTTACCCATAAACCCCTCCGTTACCCATAAACCCCTCCGTCACCCATAAACCCCTCCGTTACCCATAAACCCCTCCGTTACCCATGAACCCCTCCCATTACCCATAAACCCCACCGTTACCCATAAACCCCTCCGTTACCCATAAACCCCTCCCGTCACCCATAAACCCCTCCCGTCACCCATGAACCCCTCCGTTTCCCATAAACCCCTCCGTTACCCATGAACCCCTCCGTTTCCCATAAACCCCTCCCGTCACCCATAAACCCCTCCCGTCACCCATGAACCCCTCCGTTTCCCATAAACCCCTCCGTTACCCATGAACCCCTCCGTTACCCATAAACCCCACCCGTCACCCATAAACCCCTCCGTTACCCATGAACCCCTCCGGTACCCATGAACCCCTCCGTTACCCATAAACCCCTCCGTTTCCCATAAACCCCACCGTCACCCATAAACCCCTCCGTTACCCATAAACCCCTCCGTTACCCATAAACCCCTCCGTTACCCATAAACCCCTCCCGTTACCCATAAACCCCTCCGGTACCCATGAACCCCTCCGTTACCCATAAACCCCTCCGTTTCCCATAAACCCCACCGTCACCCATAAACCCCTCCGTTACCCATAAACCCCTCCGTTACCCATAAACCCCTCCGTTACCCATAAACCCCTCCCGTTACCCATAAACCCCTCCGGTACCCATGAACCCCTCCGTTACCCATAAACCCCTCCGTTTCCCATAAACCCCACCGTCACCCATAAACCCCTCCGTCACCCATAAACCCCTCCCGTCACCCATAAACCCCTCCGTTACCCATGAACCCCTCCGTTACCCATGAACCCCTCCCGTTACCCATAAACCCCTCCGGTACCCATGAACCCCTCCGTTACCCATAAACCCCTCCCGTTACCCATAAACCCCTCCGGTACCCATGAACCCCTCCGTTACCCATAAACCCCTCCGTTTCCCATAAACCCCACCGTCACCCATAAACCCCTCCGTCACCCATAAACCCCTCCCGTCACCCATAAACCCCTCCGTTACCCATGAACCCCTCCGTTACCCATAAACCCCTCCGTTACCCATGAACCCCTCCGTTACTCATGAACCCCTCCGTTACCCATGAACCCCTCCCGTCACCCATAAACCCCTCCGTTACCCATGAACCCCTCCGTTACCCATAAACCCCTCCGTTACCCATAAACCCCTCCGTTACCCATAAACCCCTCCCGTCACCCATTAACCCCTCCCGTCACCCATGAACCCCTCCCGTTACCCATAAACCCCTCCGGTACCCATTAACCCCTCCGTTACCCATGAACCCCTCCGTTACCCATAAACCCCTCCGTTACCCATGAACCCCTCCCGTCACCCATAAACCCCTCCGTTACCCATAAACCCCTCCGTTACCCATAAACCCCTCCGTTACCCATAAACCCCTCCGTTACCCATAAACCCCTCCGTTACCCATAAACCCCTCCGTTACCCATAAACCCCTCCGTTACCCATAAACCCCTCCGTCACCCATAAACCCCTCCGTTACCCATAAACCCCTCCGTCACCCATGAACCCCTCCCATTACCCATAAACCCCACCGTTACCCATAAACCCCTCCGTTACCCATAAACCCCTCCCGTCACCCATAAACCCCTCCCGTCACCCATGAACCCCTCCGTTTCCCATAAACCCCTCCGTTACCCATGAACCCCTCCGTTTCCCATAAACCCCTCCCGTCACCCATAAACCCCTCCCGTCACCCATGAACCCCTCCGTTTCCCATAAACCCCTCCGTTACCCATGAACCCCTCCGTTACCCATAAACCCCACCCGTCACCCATAAACCCCTCCGTTACCCATGAACCCCTCCGGTACCCATGAACCCCTCCGTTACCCATAAACCCCTCCGTTTCCCATAAACCCCACCGTCACCCATAAACCCCTCCGTTACCCATAAACCCCTCCGTTACCCATAAACCCCTCCGTTACCCATAAACCCCTCCCGTTACCCATAAACCCCTCCGGTACCCATGAACCCCTCCGTTACCCATAAACCCCTCCGTTTCCCATAAACCCCACCGTCACCCATAAACCCCTCCGTTACCCATAAACCCCTCCGTTACCCATAAACCCCTCCGTTACCCATAAACCCCTCCCGTTACCCATAAACCCCTCCGGTACCCATGAACCCCTCCGTTACCCATAAACCCCTCCGTTTCCCATAAACCCCACCGTCACCCATAAACCCCTCCGTCACCCATAAACCCCTCCCGTCACCCATAAACCCCTCCGTTACCCATGAACCCCTCCGTTACCCATGAACCCCTCCCGTTACCCATAAACCCCTCCGGTACCCATGAACCCCTCCGTTACCCATAAACCCCTCCCGTTACCCATAAACCCCTCCGGTACCCATGAACCCCTCCGTTACCCATAAACCCCTCCGTTTCCCATAAACCCCACCGTCACCCATAAACCCCTCCGTCACCCATGAACCCCTCCCGTCACCCATAAACCCCTCCGTTACCCATGAACCCCTCCGTTACCCATAAACCCCTCCGTTACCCATGAACCCCTCCGTTACTCATGAACCCCTCCGTTACCCATGAACCCCTCCCGTCACCCATAAACCCCTCCGTTACCCATGAACCCCTCCCGTCACCCATAAACCCCTCCGTTACCCATAAACCCCTCCCGTTACCCATAAACCCCTCCGTTACCCATAAACCCCACCGTTAACCTGTTTTGTTTGTTTAGGTACATAAGGTTGTTTTTGAGTATGTATGTTTGATACATCTCAGGGTTTTGTTCTACAATATCCTGCCATGTCAAACTGTAAATAAAACTAAACTAAACTAAATTTCTTCATCGATCAGTACTTTTTACATTTAATACGAACTGAAATTGTGTACTTGTGTGTTTACTGATATAGTGTGTACTTGAGTTTACTGATATAGAGTGTGCTTGAGGTGTCGTCCTGTAGACGTCCACAGGCGAGCGATGACTGATGGTTCTGTTTTCTGACTGCTTTAGATTACTACACCCTCTTCGGCACCGGCTGTCACGGATGCGACTTTCCCATCGAAGCCGGTGACAAGTTCCTGGATGCGCTGGGGTTCACCTGGCACGACACCTGCTTCGTGTGTGCGGTACGTGTGTGTGTGTGTGTGCGCAGAAACACCAGGAATACACACTTCTAAAACAGGGTTTGAAATTAACTCTTTCACTCACCAGCCAATTTGGCTACAAAATGAAGTTACCGGCCATTCAGAACTTCTGCTAGCCAAAATATAAACCAGATTAACTACATCACAGCTTATACACAGGTGAAACTCGAAAAATTAGAATATGGTGCAAAATCTCATTTATTTCAGTAATTCAACTTAAAAGGTGAAACTAATATATTATATAGACTCATTACATGCAAAGTGAGATATTTCAAGCCTTTATTTGTTATAATGTTGATGATTATGGCTCACAGATATGAAAACCTTTTCACGATATTCTAATTTTGAATTTGGGGTTTTCATAAGCTGTGAACCATAATCATCAACATTATAACAAATAAAGGCTTGAAATATCTCACTTTGCATGTAATGAGTCTATATAATATATTAGTTTCACCTTTTAAGTTGAATTACTGAAACAAATGAACTTTTGCAGGATATTCTAATCTTTCGAGTTTCACCTGTGTGTGTGTGTGTGTGTGTATATCAGTTTGTTAGCAGCCGGTTCATCACAAGTGACGTCCGTCCACTTCTCCTCTCCTCGTTCCGTCTATTCTGACCTCCGCGAGTCTTTCCCTGTAAAGCTTCATTCCTTCAGGATTATCTAAACATGGAGAAGCACAATGAGTTGAGATATTAAGTGTAGTTTTCTGCCAGTGCGTCAGACAACTCAACTCAAGATAAACAAGGGGATTTCTCTGACTCCATTGGCAAATATTTGTTCTGACATAAATGACACATTTAAACGTTTTTTTTTTTTCTTTGAAAAATGTCTCTTCATGCCTTATAATAGCTACAAAAAAAACAATTAAATTTTTTTCACAAAGGACTTATCAAGTGTGAAATTCAGAAAACTTATAAAGTATCAACATGATTCTTCAGTGTTTTGAGCTGATAAAATGGACCTGGAGTCTGAATATTATTCAGATGAGCTCATCTGTGACTGAGTGAATGATATATTGTGTGAATAATATCACAAAGTGCATTTCTGCAACATTCAGAAAACAGTTTTCACACACCACACGATGTTTCTGCTTTATTTGGAGCTGCTTTTAGGATTGTTTTACATGAACTTTTGTTGACAATAAATAATCTCTTACTTAAAGTCTCCCTGTAGTCAATCACTGTATCCCTTAAAACTCATCTTTGATCACCAAAATTACATATTTAAATGGTTTTTCCTTGAAAAAAATGTCTTCATGCCTTAAAATATCTTGAATGTAACTCGACACCATTGCCTCATTTAGTATGCGTGGTTCTATGAATATGCAAATGAGCCCCGCCTCCACTCACTCACTCAGCTCAGAGATCCACTGGTTGACGATCACTCGTTGATCTGATTGGTTACAAGGTCGTTTGTGACGTCAGAAACACCAGCGATTTCACACCGTGTTTTTGAGACTGTCTTTGGTTCACTGCAGTTTTAAGCAGAAAATGGTGTTGACTTGTGAATTTACTCAAGAATGCAATTATCTGATCTCTCTTACTGCTTTGATTGGATATTAAAATGTCCCGGTTACAAACACAAATGTTGGTGAAAATACTATTTTATAAATCTTTGTACTCTTTCAGTAGATCTAGTGATGTGTGACGGCTTTTGGGTCCTGATCTCTCTCTCTCTCTCTCTCTCTCTCTCTCTCTCTCTCTCTCTCTCTCTCTCTCTCTCTCTCTCTCTCTCTCTCTCTCTCTCTCTCTCTCTCTCTCTCTCTCTCGTCCTGTAGGTGTGCAGCACGAGTCTAGAGGGTCAGACCTTCTTCTCCAAGAAAGACAAGCCCTTATGCAAGAAACACGCTCACACGGTCCAGTTCTGAGCGCTCGTGCTGAACGCTGGAGTGAAGTCAAGGCTGAACGTCATCTTTTACAAGCACCAGATTTATTTTAGTATGTGAATGTATTTGCTAAGAGATATATTTGCCTTGATTTTCCTCAACAACAACAAAAAAGTAAAAAAGCGTCAGAAAGAGGCACATTTACAGCAGAGTTTATAGAATATTGATTTAAATAATGTACACTGCAAAAAAAAAAAAAAAAAGTATTTTCGTCTTGTTTTCAAGGTTCAAATATCTAAACATTCATAAATTTAAGATACATTTGCTTGTACATTGAGAAGTAAAATGACTAAGGTCTCGTTTTATGAAAAATGCATCAAAAGTGAGTTTGTGCTTAAAACATTCAAAACAAAGTCAGAAAAATCAGCTCAATTCACAGGGAAAACGAGATGATTTTTCTGACTCCATTGGCACATTTAAACGTTTTTTCTTTGAAAAATATTTCTTCATGCCTTAAAATAGCTCTTAATTATAAACTTTGAACTTTTTTGAAAGCAAGGCTTAATTGCTTCTCCAGTAAATGCATCTTGATTTAAGAATGTTTATATATTTGCACTAAATAAGAATGATTTTTTCAGATGTTTTGGAGATCATCATGAAGCTTGATCAGATCTGTGTTAACGGCAGTATTTCAGCTTCAGTGTTGCATTGTGGATGTGTTTGTGTGAGTATCATGTGTTGTTCCAGCATTACAGAAGTCCCACAGGTGTGTAAAGAGCAGTTCTGTGACTCTGATGATATATTAGTTCAGCTTCTCACATGAAAGCACTGGTGGCTCAGTGTAAAGCGTGTGTGTTCTCGTCTCCGCTGCAGTTCCACACACACACACGGCTCTATTTATGCAGGTATATTTATTGAGGCAGGGGCGATGATGATTTCTGGGGCTTTCCAGGGGCTCTGCACATATTTTACGGCACAGAACGGTGATATTTAATGTTTTATGTGTTATTTCTGTGCTCCATCTGTCTGTGTACGGTTTGTGGGATATCTGATCGTCTAAGTGCCTTGATTAAAACTTTATTTGTGCTCAAATTATGATTAATATAGAGAAACATATTTCATTTATAATCTTTAGCTCTTGTTTTTAAGCTAATATGGGTTGGTGGTTCAATTGCATCTTTATTCTCATTCTTGATGTTGTAGTTTCCTGTAATGCATTATTATGAGGCGGGATGAATAATAAAACACTGTTCTTATCAAAGTCTCGCAGTGTGATTGATTCATTTTAAGCACTAAAATTATTAACTGGAGATAAATAAAACTGAAATAAAGATAAAAGAAACCTAAATAGCAATATTAAAAAAAGAAAGAAAAAAATGAATAACATGAAAATGAAACTATAAAAAATAAAAGCTGTTTCAAAATATTAAATAAGACCTAAAATAACAGAACACATTGAGCCTCAGAACACATTGACATTGACATCACTAAAATAAATGCCTTAATAATGAGTGTCGTTTGCGGGATCCTTTGGTTTCCCAGATCCCGAACCATCCCACCACCGCCACCACACGTCCTGTGCTCCCGTTTCAGAGCAGATTATGTTCAGTCACTGTGAAATGGATCTCAGCAAACGCTCTCCTCCTTCCGGTAATGACTGAATTTGCCAGAAGATTGCTATGCATGTTTAAAAACGGCATTAACAAAAACCTTTTGGACATGATGTTGATGTCTACTAACTTTTGACCAAAAAAAAAGAGAAACTCAAATCCATTACATGAACTTGAGTGAAAAGACTTGTGAATTATGTCATTTATGCCCGTTCGCACTGAGGAGAATAACTATAACGATAAAGATATAGTTCTAAAAATAGTTCCAAGGAAAAAGTCAGAATTGGGAGGAAAAAAGTCAGATTTGTGAGGAAAAAAAGTCAGATTTCCAAGGAAAAAGTCAGAATTGGGAGGAGAAAAGTCAGATTTGTGAGGAAAAAAAGTCAGATTTCCAAGGAAAAAGTCAGAATTGGGAGGAGAAAAGTCCGATTTGGGAGGAAAAAAGTCAGAATTGCGAGGAAAAAGTCAGAATTGTGAGAAGTCAGATTTCCAAGGAAAAAGTCAGAATTGGGAGGAAAAAAGTCCGATTTGTGAGGAAAAAGTCAGATTTGTGAGGAAAAAAGTCAGATTTGTGAGGAAAAAAGTCAGATTTGCGAGGAAAAAAGTCAGATTTCCAAGGAAAAAGTCAGAATTGGGAGGAAAAAAGTCCGATTTGTGAGGAAAAAAAGTCCGATTTGTGAGGAAAAAAGTCCGATTTGTGAGGAAAAAGTCAGAATTGGGAGGAGAAAAGTCCGATTTGGGAGGACAAAAGTCAGATTTGAGAGGAAAAAAGTCAGATTTGTGAGGAAAAAGTCCGATTTGTGAGGAAAAAAGTCAGATTTGTGAGGAAAAAAAGTCAGATTTGTGAGAAAAGTCAGATTTCCAAGGAAAAAGTCAGAATTGGGAGGAGAAAAGTCCGATTTGTGAGGAAAAAAGTCAGATTTGTGAGGAAAAAGTCAGAATTGCGAGGAAAAAGTCAGAATTGTGAGAAGTCAGATTTCCAAGGAAAAAGTCAGAATTGGGAGGAAAAAAGTCAGATTTGTGAGGAAAAAGTCAGAATTGCGAGGAAAAAGTCAGAATTGTGAGAAGTCAGATTTCCAAGGAAAAAGTCAGAATTGGGAGGAAAAAAGTCCGATTTGTGAGGAAAAAGTCCGATTTGTGAGGAAAAAAGTCAGATTTGCGAGGAAAAAGTCAGAATTGTGAGAAGTCAGATTTCCAAGGAAAAAGTCAGAATTGGGAGGAAAAAAGTCAGATTTGTGAGGAAAAAGTCAGAATTGCGAGGAAAAAGTCAGAATTGTGAGAAGTCAGATTTCCAAGGAAAAAGTCAGAATTGGGAGGAGAAAAGTCCGATTTGGGAGGAAAAAAGTCAGAATTGCGAGGAAAAAGTCAGAATTGTGAGAAGTCAGATTTCCAAGGAAAAAGTCAGAATTGGGAGGAAAAAAGTCCGATTTGTGAGGAAAAAGTCAGATTTGTGAGGAAAAAAGTCAGAATTGTGAGGAAAAAAGTCAGATTTGCGAGGAAAAAAGTCAGATTTGTGAGAAGTCCGATTTCCAAGGAAAAAGTCAGAATTGGGAGGAAAAAAGTCCGATTTGTGAGGAAAAAAGTCCGATTTGTGAGGAAAAAGTCCGATTTGGGAGGAAAAAAGTCAGATTTGAGAGGAAAAAAGTCCGATTTGCGAGGAAAAAAGTCAGATTTGTGAGGAAAAAGTCAGAATTGCGAGGAAAAAGTCAGAATTGTGAGAAGTCAGATTTCCAAGGAAAAAGTCAGAATTGGGAGGAAAAAAGTCCGATTTGTGAGGAAAAAGTCAGAATTGCGAGGAAAAAGTCAGAATTGCGAGGAAAAAGTCAGAATTGTGAGAAGTCAGATTTCCAAGGAAAAAGTCCGATTTGTGAGGAAAAAGTCAGATTTGTGAGGAAAAAGTCAGAATTGCGAGGAAAAAGTCAGAATTGTGAGAAGTCAGATTTCCAAGGAAAAAGTCAGAATTGCGAGGAAAAAGTCAGAATTGTGAGAAGTCAGATTTCCAAGGAAAAAGTCAGAATTGGGAGGAGAAAAGTCCGATTTGTGAGGAAAAAGTCCGATTTGTGAGGAAAAAAGTCAGATTTGTGAGGAAAAAAGTCAGAATTGCGAGGAAAAAGTCAGAATTGTGAGAAGTCAGATTTCCAAGGAAAAAGTCAGAATTGGGAGGAAAAAAGTCCGATTTGTGAGGAAAAAGTCAGATTTGTGAGGAAAAAAGTCAGATTTGCGAGGAAAAAAGTCCGATTTGCGAGGAAAAGGAGAAAAGTCAGAATTGGGAGGGAAAAAGTCAGAATTGGGAGGAAAAAATATCAGATTTGCGAGGAAAATTCAATTGTGAGAAAAACTCCCAATTGTGAGAAAAAACAGAATTGCGAGAAAAAGTCAGAATTGTGATTTATAAACTCGCAATTGCGAATAAAAAGTCAGAATTGTGAGATTAAAAATTGCAATTATCTTTAACATTTTTTTTTTTCGTGACTGAAACGAGTTTCCGTAGTGAACAGGACTTTTTTGGGATATTCTGCACCACATGAAGTTTAAGTCTCACAGGAGAGTGTAAATAAAGCGACTCCGGGATTGTGCGGTCTGATGTCGGCAGTGAAGCAGAAGCTCATGCAGTCGCATATGGGTTTGAATGAGTCCTGAAGGGTACACGTGAAGGGTCAGATCTGCAGAGCAGCACAAAAGCCAAAGCTTTCATATATAAATATCAAGTCAATGTTTGATATGTTAGTCATAAAGGTGTATTTTTATATATTGATATGATTTCATTTCAATTTTGTGACTAAATTGTGTTTTATATATTTGATTTTTGTAGTTTCAGGTTGTAATGTCAGGTAGCCTTTCTTTTGATATTTTTAAACCATCAGTTTGATGTGAAGAGCAGGAATATTGTGTTGATATGGGCTACCTTAAATATTCTGAATATTTATTTTTAGGGTTATATGAAAATAGATGTTATATACAGTATTAATTATATGTTTTCATGTAAATTCCTAAATTCCAGGTGTTTTCCGTCGTTAGTTTGAGATTTAGAGATGGAAAATGGTGCAAATTTTTATATTTCATTATATTATTTTAGGTCATATGACGGGGTAATCATATTTTAGGTGCAATTTTATCATTTTGCTTCTCTAAATGAAAATGTTTCCGATTCACCTATTGGTTTAGCAGATTAATGTTTTATACATTTTTGGATTATAAAAATGTACTTCTGCCCATTAGTGAGGTGAAGAGTGAGTTTAGGGTTTTTATTTTATATTTTTAGTATAGTGTTGTTATATGATGGCGTATTTAGGAGCCAATCACTGAAGGTGCTGTATAATTATTATTAATATTATTCCCGAATGGGAGTCTTTGGCATCAACCATACATAGGAAAATGATGAAATTTGGTACAGAGATAGAGTTGGTCCTGAATAGCAATCCGACCAACTTTGAAGCATCTACGACATACTCTATAGCGCCACCACCAGTTCAAAGCCGTACTTTTCTTTTTGTTAAAACTTTTGAACACTTTTTACGTCTTGCATCGACCAGATCTGGTTGATAAATGTGTATTTCTGTTATTAATTTGAGGTTCAGAGCATATTTTATGAAGGGTTATATGGTGGTGTATTATTTGCTGGTTTCTGTGAGGTGAATCAGGATGAGGAGGCATTGAGGTGTATTTCTCTGAGGCGTCGGTGGTTGGAGCCTCTGCGCCTCACACACACACACACACACACACGGAGACTGAAGGAAAGAAAACCAGCTTTCCTCCTTGAGTTGGGCAAAAGGAGTCCGTTCAATCTCAGAACAAACGGCAGCGAGTATTTCTTCGCTGAATGTTTATGTTCCGCGGACACGCGCCGATGAAGCTTTCTGACGGACTTTAGAGGCTCGTGAATGAAGGTGAGTGTTTAAACGCCAATCTGACACATCCACTGAGACTTTGAATGTTTAATCCGCCGTATATATCGATGAAGTCACCGTTCATCTGTTAGGCACGCGCAGATTTGTACTAAAATACTCGCGGTTGTTCGTGTGTGTTTGTCAAATTCGCGCTCGTGCTCGTATTTACGAAAGTTTCGGCGTTTTTTCGTAAATCTCGCGCGCTGAATCTCACTGATCTGAAGCAGTCAGAATCTCTCTCAAGCTGTCAGCACTGGAGTTTTAGTGGAACTAGGTCGAGAAATAGGAAATGTGTCTGTTGTGATGGACGAAAATCATTCGAGCAAGAGGTTTAACTGAAGGCGATTTATGTCTATGATATCCTTTGTATTAGGCTGGTTTAGATGTAGATTTTTTATGCAAATGATGAATAATAATGAAATCAAACATTGTTCAGGTTATTATTGGAAGATTTCCTGACGTGTTGATGCACAAAATTACAGTTTGATCAGGAATGATTCCTGAAGGTGTATAACCGGTTATCATATTAAATGATATTGCATAACTCCTTCAAGGGATATGATTTATTGAGCTTCATCAAGGTCTTACGAAACATTCTGTCCCTGTAGGTGTTGAGAGATCAGATCTGAACATCACAAATGCATAAGGAACTTTATTCATCAGACTGAGGTAAGACGGCAGGTTTTTTTATTCCTCCAGTATTGAATGTGTGTTTGTTTTGCATTTGACTGAAATAATTGTGATTGTCTTAAATACATCTAAAGGGTCTGTTCACAGTGAAAGTGTCGATTTGACCGCGTTTTAAAAGCTGAAGTGTGTGATTTCTGCTCTATTCGTGTCATCAAATTGAATTGGAAGAATGACTGTTTCCAAACAGTTTCCCTAATCACGCCCCCTCGTCTGCCATTGGCCATTCACACAGATAGACCCGCCCCCAAACTCACATCATTGGTCGAGTCTCAAGTCAAGTGTTATTAGGGATGTGAGAAAGTATTTTACCATTGAATAAAGACACACTTCATCTTTAAAGGAAAGTTTATACTCGTTTTACACACGTCATCTGAACGTTAATGAGCGCTGTGTGATTTTGGAGGCTGATTTTCCCATGAGCCAGACCTCAGATAAAGCACAGGGCTTGTGCTGGGAATAAAGTACTAGTTTCCCTACTGAATATATGCAGTTTGTACTTTTATACTGTTTTACACTAATAAAAAGAGATCTATAATACCTATAATAGCTGTAATATGACTTTTATGACATCTGTGTAGCAGATGATGAAGTAAAGCACACAGATTTGTCCATCGGATCGCATCGGATCTCTTCAGTCGTAGCGGGCCGGCAGTGTGTTGTGATATCGTGAGTATCGTGTGTCGGATGAGTGTGTTCTTTGGGAGTGTGTCAGCGTTATTGAGTGTCAGCGGCTACAGGAGTCATTTACACTGCGGCGTAATGAGAGAAAGCCATTACAGGGCCTGATGTGTGTTTTGGGTGGGATTTCTAAAAGCCTGCGTGTGGGAAAGTGCTGGTTTTGTCTGTGTGGTCTGGCTTTGGCGGCCCGAGGCTTGTTTGAATTAAACCCAGTGGGCCGGTGCTGTTTTACTGCTTATATTTCACTGCGGCAAAGAAATACGGTGTGTGAACTTGCCATAACGCTGTTCGCCGCGGATCTTCATCGGGACGTAGATGTTACGTCACGCCGACGAACACAGATGCACTTTAGCTCTTGTGTTTGATCAGCACTGGGTTTGATGGCTGATTCCAGTATCAAGAGAGCAGGGTGGGAAATATAAAGCTGGTATTTATCGCAATATAAACCCGGACTGTAGGGCTGCACAGCTGCTCAGATGAAAAAAAAAAATGCGATAAAAAAAAAAGGTGTTTTGTAGGGCTGCACAATCTGGGCAAAACAATTCTGATTTCTATATCAAAATGACTATAAAAATGACTGTAAATAAAAATTAAAAAATTATTATATTAAAATAATTAATTATTATACATTATTATTATTAATAGTAATTATCATGTACAATTATTAATACTTTATATATATATATATATATATATATATATATGAATAAATGTACATGTATATGTGTATACTGTATATATATAATGTATGTATTAATAATGTAATGATATTAGAAAAATAACTGCATTTTTTAAATATTTATTCATATTTACTATAAATATTAATATTGCTATAAAATGTAATTAAATTACACACACACACACACACACATATATATATTAGTAATGTCAAATAGATTAATTGCGTCTAACATAAAAGTTGTTTATATACCGTAATATATGTGTCTATGTATATATATATATATATGCAATTTATTATATAAACAAAAAATGTTGTTAGATGCGATTAATCACGATTAATCAATTTGACAGCACTAATATATATATATATATATATATATATATATATATAAATATATAAATGTGTGTGTCATTTTTCATTTTTATTGCAATATTTATAGTAAATAAATATTAATAAATTATTAAAAATACACAGTAAATATTATAATACATATTTAAAAAAAACTCAACAAATATATACATTTTTATAATACTCAAAAACACTAAATAAATATTTGGGCATTATAAAATAGGCATTATTTATTGCGAATTCTGTTGTAAAGTTTGTCGAACTGGTCCGCCGTCTGTCAGTCAGTGGAGCAGGTGCAGTTATTGACCCATGCGGATCATCTCAAAATGACCAGAATATTGTCTGCTGATTTTGTCATAAATGTGTTTAGTATGATCAGCTTTAGACTGGGGGTGAGTGTGTGACGTGTGTTTGTTCCTGTGGTTTAAGGTGTTCTGGAGTTTCTCGGCTCTAAACACACCGTCACCTTCAGCTTCGATTCTCAACGATTGGGTTATTGTGCGCTGACACGCCGAACACTGTGTCTTTGTGCGAGCGGCGCGTAAAAGGATCTGTTGTGCGTGTCCCCCCGCTCTGAATCTGCATACCCCAGGGGCTTCTGGGAGAGTTTAACAAGCTTCTGATGTTCCTGGAGAACGGAGGCGTGTGAGATTCCTCCACCGAGGTGAACTTCAAGCCTGGAGCTGCAGAGGTCAGAGTTTACAGTCCGAATAATGAGTTCATTTCAGATTCAGAGGCGCTGCCTCATTCAACATGATTCTCTGGGTTTTGATGTGAATCTCGAGGCCTGATCGCTACGACATCGGTGAGCCGGACACGAATGACAAAAAACATGGTATAATGTAAATATACGGAGCAGGACGTGCTCTAATAGTTCAAAAATAGGCGTTACTCATGGTTATTTCACAAATTGTTCCATGGAATTTTCAACTGCAATAACAGATAAGACTTTGTGGTTGCCAGGGTGTTGCTAGGGGTTTTGCTACAGTGTTCTGGGTGGTTGCCAGGGTGTTGCTAGGGGTTTTGCTACAGTGTTCTGGGTGGTTGCCAGGGTGTTACTAGGCGTTTTGCTACAGTGTTCTGAGTGGTTGCCAGGGTGTTGCTCAGAATTTTGGTACAGTGTTCTGGGTGGTTGCTAGGCGTTTTGCTACAATGTTCTGGGTGGTTGCCAGGGTTTTGCTAGGCGTTTTGCTACAGTGCTCTGAGTGGTTGCCAGGGTGTTGCTCGGCATTTTGATACAGAGTTCTGGGTGGTTGCCAGGGTGTTGCTAGGCATTTTGCTACAGTGTTCTGAGTGGTTGCCAGGGTGTCGCTTGGCATTTTGATACAGTGTTCTGGGTGGTTGCCAGGGTGTTGCTTTGGTGTTGGTAAGGTGTTTTATATATATATATATATATATATATATATATATATATACAAAAAAAGGTTTGTAGGTTTAATCAGATTAAATAATATCATATCATAGCATATCACATATCATATCATATCAATCATAATAATTTTCACAACATTACAGTACATTTTATGTAGCTATTTTGTTATGTTTATATTTAATTAATTCTATTATATAATCATTTTCACAACATTACAGTAAATCTTATGGGCCTATTTTGTTATAATTTATTATTATATTATATATTTATTTTCACAGCATTTTTACAGTAAATCTTACGGGCCTATTTTATTATAATTTGTATTAAATAAAAGTAAAAAGTAAAAAAACGTATTAGACTTACAATGTAAGTGACACGAACAAAACCGATTAAAACCATTTGTATGACAATATGTCTGTGTCTGTATATATTGTAAAAATATGTGTGTAAGATATATTTTTTATATATATATATAGGCTATGTATGTATGTATATGTGTGTGTTATCAGATACCATATAAAACAGTGTATTTGTGTGCTAAAAGAGCTTGCTCTCGCTCAGCAGCTGCACTTCTGTCTGCAGTCTGAGCTGTATTAGTTGACCTTTGACCTCCGCCTTCCGCCTTCATAATTACAGGAAGTGAGCGTGGCCAATGAGAGCAGAGGATTGTGGGTAAGCATTAATGAGCACAGAGGTGTCAGTGTTGTTGAAGGGGCCGCTGGAGAAAAGAGCCGTGCACAAGTCTGAAGATATGGGTTTTATTTGTGCAAAACCCACTACATTGATTCTAGGATGTTGCTTTGTGGTTGCCAGGGTGTTGCTATGCTGTTGAAATGGTGTTGTGTGTGGTTGCCAGGGTGTTGCTAGGCTGTTGCAAAGGTTTTGTGTGTGGTTGCCAGGTTGTTGCTAGGCTGTTTGAACATTGTTGTGTGTGGTTGCCAGGGTGTTGCTAGGCTGTTGCAACAGTGTTGTGTGTGGCTGCCCAGGGTGTTGCTAGGCAGTTGCAACAGTGTTGTGTGTGGTTGCGAGGGTGTTGCTTGCTAGGCTGTTGCAACAGTGTTGTGTGTGTGGGTGTGTGTGGTTGCCAGGGTGTTGCTAGGCTGTTGCAACACAGTGTTGTGTGTGGTTGCCAGGGTGTTGCTAGGTTGTTTCAACATTGTTGTGTGTGGTTGCCAGGGTGTTGCTAGGCTGTTGCAACAGTGTTGTGTGTGGTTGCCAGGGTGTCGCTAGGCAGTTGCAACAGTGTTGTGTGTGTGGTTGCCAGGGTGTTGCTAGGATGTTGCAACAGTATTGTGTGTGTGTGTGTGTGTGGTTGCCAGGGTGTTGCTAGGCTGTTGCAACAGTGTTGTGTGTGTGTGGTTGCCAGGATGTTGCTAGGCTGTTGCAACAGTGTTCTGTGTGTGTGTGTGTGTGTGTGTGTGTGTGGTTGCCAGGGTGTTATGAGTGGTTGCCAGGGTGTTGCTAAGGTGGTTTGTTATTGTCTGCAGTGAAAGGAGTCCACCTTTTAATCCCTGTGATCTTCTGTCCTCTGGATTTAGGTTCACATTATTGGTTGTCATCGGAATGATTGATAATATTCAGCCCCGCCCACCTGGCCTTGATTTCATCAGCATGAAAGAAGTTTTCAAAAGTGGAGAATTCTTAATGAACGATCATGTAAACACTCTTCTTTAGATAAACGTTACAGTTTCCCGGCGGCGCATGTGAAAGGAATCAAACTCTCCTCTCTGATGTCTCTGAAGCTCTGAGGATGAAAAGCAGCACAGATGATTTGAGTTATTATCTCTTCAACGTGTCACACGCTGAAAACTAAACGCGTCTGGCTTTTGACACGTGACGCGGGAGATTAACGGCCTCTCCGTCTCTGATTTCCCAGCGGAGCGACCCGGACACAGGGAA